CTATCAAATGGGATTTTGCTGTATACAAATACATCTTACGTTGACTCATGTAGACTTATTCCTATGTTTTCAGAATCGGATCGAATATCGACTCGGTCAAATTTAGGGGTCAGGAGTCAATGGGTTCAACCGGATTTGATCGGAGTTGAACCGGATGGCGTCATAGATAAAAATTATTTAAAAATTAAAATATTATATTTAAAATACCTAATAACATGTTAATATTAATAAAGATATATTCATATATATTTGATGTTTCAAATATATTTAACAAGAAAATACAAAGAAATTAGAACAATCAAATAATAATTTATATTATTTAATGAGCATTAACAAGTTTAGAATTGAAATTATGGATTTAATTAAAAAATAACACCAAACATTAAGACAACATTGATAAAGTATGAAATATTTGAGGTATATTAATAATTTTTAACAATCTAGGGGTCAAAACATAATATTGAAAAAATTTGAGTTTTTTTTTTTAAATGCTTGATTGAACCGAAAAATTCGGATTTTTTTGGTCAAACCCGATCAAATCCAGTTTTTGACCGAATTTTTACTTACCCGATTGTTTAGCAAAACTCGGACCGGACACTTGGCTGATTCCCTGTTCGACCAACTGGTCCGGTCTGAGTTTTAAAACACAAACTTATTCCAGAGGCAGAGAGGCATGAGGGAAGACTAGAGGTGAAATTCAAGACTCTTACTAAATTTCCATCAAAGTATATATCTCTGGTGTGTAGTAATTAATTTTTTAAGTCATCTCTTGAGAAAGGCACAGGGAATTGGAAAAACGAATGCATTAATACTTCATATCATGTATGTCATTGTATATAGTATCGTAATTAGACAGAGTCTCAAACCAGTCTATAATATATGGATTGTTTCCCGGTTGATATGATCACGGATGCATGACCAGTGCATGACCTATGTGCAGTTCAACCAAAAGTCCATTAGTTAAGTCCTTAAATATTCAGTCTATAATATATGGATTGTTTCCCGGTTGATATGATGACGGATGCATGACCAGAGCATGACCTATGTGCAGGTCAACCAGAAAGTCCATTAGCTAAGTCCTTAAATATTAATTTCCATCAACTTATTCCTTAAACTTTTCCACTTGTCTTGCAAAATGGTCATTCCAGTCACCCCATTGCTGTTTTGATCTGCATCAAAAAGCTTCCAAGTCGATCTATATTACTACCTCTTTTTTTCTTCTTCTTTTTTTTGTCCATCTTGCACAGCTTTTTCTTGCATGCACACGCAGTATACACACTGTCAGTGCTGGATTCATATAGCGCATGTACAAAAATTTATTGGATTTTGTGTTCAAATTTTACATAATTATCATTCATTCAGAACTGTTATTCATCTACTAAAAAAGTCTTTTGCTACAAAGATGTCTGAAAATTAAGAAGGTTTTCAGGCGCGTTGATCTGAGAAAAGAATATGTCTGTTGCATTTAATATTTTCTTCTCGCTGACAGAGTTGAGATAGAGACTAGAGTGGACTATCTTAGTAAGCTAAATTTGCCAAGTGTGTGAAAAAAAAATATATAAATATATCTCATCAACTTCTTGTTTCTATTTCTTGACCCATCAATGGCGCAGTCCATGCACTTGAAAATATCAGAGCAATGTCTTCAACGATTCGCAGTACAAGTATAGATATAATAAGCACATATTCAACGATTCCTAGTACATCATCAGTGGTTTATCTCTACTTCTTCTAGCACAGGCAGCAGATTTCACTGTTCAAAGCAAAAAACAATTTTCTAAAGTTGATTGTGTCCATTAATTTGAAGAAAAAGGCAATTGAATGACAAAGTTAGAGCCGAAATTTATGCGATATGTAAACTGTACGTGTTCTGTTGCCTTCTTCCAGATTCCATCTGTTTTCAACTTAATAAATCACATACACATTCAGGTTAATTAGCATGCATGTGAGTTAAGTATATGACTGTAGTATCTGTCCCATTTCACCACGACAAATTAAATTGAAAAGGCCATTTTCATCTCACTTTCACTGGTGGACTTGAAAATCTCAAGTCTTTGACAACGAAATTTAACCATTAAAGTCTTTTCTTTTTCTTTTTTTTTTGGTAGAAGTTCAGAGCTAGCAGCATTTAGAAAGGCTAATGATAGATAAAGAGAGGGAAAAAAAATGAAAATTTGTTTTCTTATACCGGTTGTGTTAAACAAATAAGTACTTTGAAATTTGTATGCATACCTTGAAGCTGATTTTGGAGTTTCAATTGTGATTGAAATGGATTAAATTGTACACTTATTAATTGGGATTTGGGGCAAATGAGCTAAAAAACACTTACTAATTGGGATTTGATATCTCAATTTGATTTGCTTAAAATAAAAGCTTGTACTAGCTTCTTTTTTTTTTTTTTTTTTTTTTTTTTGAGCAGGTTGTAATTGGCCAGAAACGTGGTTATGTTGTCGTAAATTCTACTGTCGTGTTTCATTTTATTCCTTTTGCAGGTATGACTTTGTTATTATCCATTATTTGGAGAGAAGAAGACGAGAATGAATTTGGAGATACCAAAAACCACTTATTTCTACAAGAAAGTATGCCTATTTTTTGTTTCCTTGTCTTCTAGTAGTATTAAAGAATGTTAAAAACCTCAAGAATTCAAGAACATGACCAAGAAATCTGCCAATTTCATACAAGATTTAGGTTCGAGCATCTCAACAATCACCAATTTCAATTGTTTGGTACAGTGTAGATAATAATACAACTAATGTATATTAGGTTTCCACATATCACGATGAAAGATAATTAAAGCTTGAAAATTTTATGAAATGAATAAAAACCTCATCATTTGTCGTTAGCTACAATAGTTGATCTTTTCATGCAACCATTTCTAGAACAACTGAAACACCAAATTCCTTAAAAATATAGATATATACAAGGAAAGAACTATAGATCAATCATCATTTGCTTAATTTTCTGACGTTATGAAATTATGGGCATGGCAGCACAGACCATTTTCAATCTAGAATATAATCTTCTTTTCAATCTCTCTCTCTTTTTTTTTCTTTTTTTTTTCATTTTAGGTCCCTTGTTTTTCCCAATATTTGTTAAAGAATGACACGTATTCAAGTTTGCCCTCCAAAATAACATAGTCTGGTGCCGACTATTCTCCATGGAATGACTATTTGAGATGCAGCCAAAAGATGAAGCATATTATTCCGACGACCCTGTGGCCAGACCAGCAGTCACTCGTTTGCGTGGCGACCAAATGATAATGACAAGCAAAAGCCAAAGGTCTCAAGATACAGGGCTGAAAAATGGGAGAGTTGCTATAGTAGTCCCCAGATTCCTCAGGATATTTGATTGTACTTTCAACTTTCATATTAAAAGCTTTCATGAAACAAATTTCATAGATTTATCATTTTAGTCCTGCAAATATTGCAGCGACGCTTCGATGCTAAAATCAATAGTGAACTATTCTTATCAGTTGCTTGACAATGAGATGGGCCCGCAACATTCGAATATATGTGCATAAATTAGTATTTATGTGAAGTGTAATTACATATTAGCTTATCATGTCGACGAAAACTCATATTATTGTATTTATACGAGTTTTTTAATAATTCAGGGGTTGGGGTTACCTCATTATTAGGTCGTATAGTTAAGCTATGTACTATATCTTTATAATCAAACTCGTCTTTTAAATTTGAAAACACTGTCATATTTCAGGATGATTATTGGAATAACTGAAGTTATGAAACCAGATTTATTTTGCTTTTTCTATTCATGAAATACGCGCGCGCTTACACACATTATGGTGTGAAAAACATAGAGATGTATACAACACCATTATATGGTGTTATAGATTTCAAGGAACTCAACAAAGAAATTCAGAAAAACGTCAATCGCCCTAAGGTGGAATAAAATTTCAGATTTAAGTCAACTACGAGTGCCTCAATTTCCAATTTCTTCTGGAAACATAGTGCTTGCTTTACAATGCAGGCCGGTGTATTTTTTTATTTATTTTTTTTTGGGTGTGAAAATTGCGTGCATGAAATTAGTATCTTGCTGATCCATGTGCTAGGCCGCCTAAGAGCTCAAAGCCAAACCAAAAAACAAAAAAAATTTTTTTTTTTTTGAGAAAATAAAAGTCACTCGACATAATAAAGGTTGATATAAATTGGAATCTAAAAAATTGCAATGGTTCTATTGATGCAACTGGGTCACTGGACTTTGCCAATTTTCTGTATGAATCTTTGGAAACTTCAAAAGGGACAAAAGTGCGACAGAGCCCATTGATTATAGATCAAAATTTTGGACATCTTGTACAGCGAGTGTGCTTGACTTCCCAAGCCTAGCTAACAGCCAAAGGAGCCCAGTGCTTGTGAAATCAAGAAAGGTCAGCAAACCACAGGCCATTTGGGTCGATGCAATGGATCTAGGTCCAAACTGAATACTCACCGCCCATTTGGCTTGCAATTATTTTTGGAAGTTACTTGAAAAATTAAAGGAGTAGCACTTTTTTTTTTTTTATAGATGTTATGAATGTGAGGTAAAAAACCACCGGCCTTTGGGCTGGTAGCCACCATCTAACTTGGTGGGGTGAACCCTTGCCTCCCACCAAAATGCCACATTTAAGTAGCTTGCTTAAAAAAAAATTCAGGCAGCTGTGTTGTGCACTCGTTTGATCCGGTGGTGGTTCAGTCCACTCCGAATTATACCTGGGCGTCCGCCAATTGAAGGACTTTGTTATGTGATTTTGTAAGAATTTTTTTTTTGGAGGGTGGGGTGGGTATGCCAATTGCTGAGTTGGTGATACTCGTTGAAATGATGAGCATTTTTTTTTTTACCATGGTTGCATTATTAGGTAAAATGAAAGATGAGACCCCAACATGAGTTCCATTAATCATAACCAAATGAGAAATAATGATATTCTTAATCTAGGTTGAAACTTTAGTACCCACAAATACAGCTTGAACAGTTTTTTTTTTTTGTCGAAACATCATAAATTCATTTCATTTTGTAAACTTGATATTACAAGACTTAGGTACATCAGATTCGCTTCCTCTGAAGTCATTTTGGGCTTCCTCTTGGAGCCACATGGGAAAACATACATCCCATTCAACATTTGTTGTTAGCTTTACAGCAAATTTTGCTACACTATGTGCACATCTATTCCCATCTCTATGCACAAAAGAGAAAGTACATTGTTCAAACAAACATCTCATATTTGCTATATCCTCCAAGATGATCACGATGTTGTTTTGCTGCTTTTTTTTTTTCTTGTTTATCATGTCCACCACCTCTTTGCAGTCTGATTGGAGCTCAATTGCCCTCCAGTTTGCTTTCCAGGCTATTTGCATTCCCATCCTAATTGCTGCTGCTTCCTCCACCTGTGGCTCACTACGTTTTAGTTCAGCTCTTGCCCAAACTTTCATCAGCTCTCCTTCAGCATTTCTGGCCACAACACCTATGCCTGTTCTCTCCAAATTTTGTGAAAATGCAGCATCAGTATTTAGTTTTATCATACCTCTTGATGGTGGCCTCCATTTCTTACTTCTGTTTGAGTTTATTGTTTGTTGAATGAACTCTCCTGTTATATCTTGTTGCGCTTCTATATACTCATTCCACTCGCCCACAGCTTTCTGCATTGTTTTCCTTGGGTCTGTGTCATATGCATCAAAAGCTGTCCTGTTCCGTGCCTTCCATATTTGCCATAGGATATTGACAGGTGTCGAACCTATGCAATAATAAATATCTACTCAAAAAAATTACAAATTTTGTATATAGCGGTGAGTAGGGTCGAATCTACAGGGACTGGGAATAATTCGTTTCTTCTAGAGTTCAGAGTATGGGGGATTTTTGAGGGGAGGAAAATAAAAATAAAAATAAAACAAACAAAATTCAAAACTAACTCACAAAACACAATTTACTAAAAATAGCAATTAATAAAAGTTCTACCCAAAAGATCAACTGCTCAGGCACGGTCCAATTAAATGCTCATCGATGCACAAATATTTCATCCATTTATCACTAGATTGGTTATAGTTATCAACAAGGTCTGACAACCAGTTCTTCCTTACTTTTTCGACAGTCAATGTACGACCATTGACTGCTTCTCTAACCAGATAACAACCCTAGATACGATCGTAGAAATTTAATTACCCAATTGCATTAAAGGTAGAATAACCCAACCCTAACCAATAAACACGCTAAGAGGGTTTATTTAAATTAGATCTTGCGTTTTCCCATCATAAAACCAATTATGGTGGTTGCCACGGGGTGTTAACTAAATGAACAATTACGGATTCTATTCAATTAACGTGGCAGTAGACTACTAAATTAAATCAAATACCCGGCCGTTGATATTCAATTAATAAAATACCCATGAACAATTAATTCAGGAAACGCACAAATAGCAATAAATTGAAAGAAATAATGAAGATTCGATTAGATCTCACAGATATTATGGACTGCACCTTCGCGTCAACCTTTGGGTAGAGGAGAAAATTAGTCGCCCCTCATCGTGTCAATCCCGCGTGATTTAATTGAATTCATTCAATTATTCGTCGAAGAATTGGGGAAGGGGAATTAATTGCAGTAACAACAGAGAAGGCCCTGCCTTCGTTTTGGAGCCGCAATTACAAAGCAAAAGGCTAACCGAAATTGTCCAGAGCAAGCATAAAAGTCAAAAAGGAAAATAGCCGTCTGGCCTATTCTAATTGCTACCGAAAAGAAGAAAGAAAAAAGGAAAAAGTGTCTGACAGATCTGGGAAAAGAAAACTAAAGCTACCTTTCGGAAGAAAAGAAAGAAAACAAAAGAGAAGAAAAATGTCTGACAAATCTTGCCAAAAAGTAGAAAAAGAAAACTAAGGCTAAAAGTCCTCCTCTATTGAATCTTGCTTTTTCCTTTCTTTATAGCCGCCGCCCCAGAGAAGTCTTCAAAGGGTTAGGAGGCCCACAATTTGTTTAAAGATTCTAATCCAGTGCTTCGGGTTCACGTGGACCACGGTCCGTCTTTTCGGTAGCGTAGACATTTTCTGGCGTGGCCACGCTCTGAAATGAAAGGTCTGCTGGAAATTTGTCTCGCGAGATCATTTTTTATGCCGACCACCTACAATTCACACAAATGCCGAATATGAGTGAAATTCCAATTTTTAGCACCGTGAATAGCCAAAATTAGGACAAAATAACAGTGTAAAATACGCCAAATAACCGCTTTATCAGATATTCACAGTCAGCGCTATATGCTCCTGTCCTTGCTCCCTTGTTATCGCTCCTAATATCCCTTCCCACCATCTTACAAAATTTCCTCTCATATCCTTCAAACCATCCCATTGTATGGGTGCAAGTTTCCAGGTCGTTTCAGCAATGTTACAAAAGAACAACATGTGTTCTAGAGTTTCCACCTCTTCCCCACAGCTACTACATATTGGACTGCCTTTGTCTGTTCGCTTATGTAGTTGTTCATTCACTGGCAGGCTATGATATAGGCACCTCCATATGAAGTGCTTCAGTTTGTGTTTCAGTTATAATGCCCACACATTCTTCCAAACTTTCGAGTTCAGTTGAGCATAGCTTGTACTTCCGCTATCTCCTTGCCTCATTTCCTTTTGTTGGTGCTTCCTTATTTCCATTGCTACATCATATGCAGATTTTACCGTGAACACACCTGATTTGGTGTATCTCCAATACAACCTGTCCTGGCAGCCTGTTATACTGAGTGGAATAGCTTTGATCTTTTGGATATCCTCTGCTATGAACCACCGGTTCAGTGTTTGCTGGTCCCAAGCTCCATCCACTATCAGCTCATCCACTTTCCTTAGTGTGCACTGTGGTTCCCTTCTAGTTTTAATCCTCCCCTCCTCACTCCCTTGTAACCAGTTATCCTGCCAAATATCAACAGTTCTCCCATCACATATCCTCTTTCCTAGTCCTTTTGTCAGCAGTTGTTTTGTTCCAAAAATACTTTTTCATGTCCACGAAGCTGCTCCAGGAATGTCTTTCTCCCAGTTCTGTGGTTGTGCTAGGTACTTTGCCCTCATAATCTTGCTTACAAGCAAATCTGGACAGGACAGTATTCTCCACAGTTGCTTTGCTAAGAGTGCTTCATTGAACTTTTTCAAATCCCTAAAACCCAGCCCCCCTTTCCCTTCACCTGCGACATTTTTTCCCAACTAGTCCAATGTATTTTCCTCTCATTTTCTCCACCTCCCCACCAAAAATTTGCTATCATCTTATTGATATCCTTACATAGCACTTTTGGAAATTTGAAACATGACATGGTGTACGTGGGAAGTGCCATTGCCACAGACTTAATCAAAATCTCCTTTCCTGCATGGCTAAGCAGGTTCCTTTTCCATCCTTGTAGCTTGTCTTCACCTTGTGCCTAATATTGCTGAACACTTGTTGCTTTGATCTCCCTACTAGCATAGGTAGTCCTAGATATCTTCCATTGCCCGCCTCCTTCATATTTCCAAGTTCCGCACAGATTTCCTTTCTTAACTCATTTTTTGTGTTTGCACTAAAGAAAACTGCTGACTTCTCATAGTTAATGGCCTGTCCTGAAGCTCTTTCATAAACTGCAAACATCTCTTTCATTTGTTTTGCTACCTGTACGTTAGCTTTACAACAAACTAGAGAGTCATCAGCAAACAAAAGATGAGACAATTTTGGGCAGTTCTTTCCCACTTTGACCCCTGTTACAACTTTATTGTTGAGTCTCTGATTCATCAAGTTTGATAGCCCCTCAGCACAAATAAGAAACAAATAAGAGGAAAGGGGATCTCCTTGCCTAATACCCCTGGAAGGTTTTACATATCCCACTTTTTTGCCATTCACATTAAAAGAATAGGCTGCAGTGGTGACACAGTTAAGGATCCATCTTACCCAAGTGGGACAAAAACCCATCTTCATCATCATTCTCCCAAGAAACTGCCACTCTACTCTATCATAGGCCTTTGATAGATCAAGTTTAAGGGTCATAAATCCATTTCTGCCCGTTCTCTTATTTTTTCAAAAAATGCATCAGTTCATGGGCAAGGATGACATTATCAAGGATGTGCCTACCTGGGACAAAAGCAGATTGGGCAGGACTAATGCAGTTTGGAATGACTCTTTTTAGCCTGTTTGCCAACACCTTTGCAATGACTCTATAAACAACATTACACAAAGATATAGGCCTATACTGGGACAGGTTAATGGGAGCTTCTACCTTAGGAATCAAGGTCACTGTTGTTTCATTTAAAGCTTTTAGTAGGTACCCCCTAGCAAGAAAACTTTGAATAGCCATCACAATATCATTTTTGCAAGTATTCCAGTATCTTTGAAAGAACAAGGGGGACATACCATCCGGACCTGGGGCTTTATCCGGGTGCATAGAAAATAAAGCAGCTTTCACTTCCTTTTCATCCACTGGTTTAATCAGTTTTGCATTCATCTCCAATGTGACTGCACAAGGGACACCTTCAGTGACTGCTTCAAAGTCATCTGGTTGAGAGGATGTGTAAACTGCCTTATAAAAATTACATATTTCCTCCTCTATCTCCTGTTCCGTCTCACACCATTGCCCATCTTCCTTTTGCAAACATGATAGTCTATTTCTTTGCCTCCTAGTTTTTACCCGTGCATGGAAGAAGACTGTATTTTTATCTCCCTCTCTCAGCCACCTGCACCTTGCTTTTTGTGCCCAGTATGTCTCCTCTTGTTTGTACGCCTGACTTAGCTTCAATTTCAACTCAGCAATATGCCCCTTCTTCTCCTCATAATTCCCTGCTTTTGCTTCCAGGATCTTTTGCTTCAACTCCTTTATCTTTTTCCCAAAATTTGTCTTATTTTTCTTATCCCATTCTACTAGATTTTTTTTGCAGTTCTTTATCTTTCTGGTCAGACTGAACATCTTGGAGCCTTGTTGTGGTTTTTCCCATGCTCTATCAATTTCTCCCTGGATTTGGTGATTTTGAGCCGATCGTTTATCGAAATAAAACCTTCTCCCTTCTTTCCTTTTTTTTTTGACATAGTGTCAATCATAAGCAAACTATGGTCAGATGCCTCATTTTGAATATGAACACACTTTGCTGTTTCAAACTGTATTGCCCATTCCTGATTTGCTAATGCACGATCTAACCGCTCTCTTATCTCCTTCCCTCCCAATGAGAGACCCATGTTCAAGGCTTTCCTTCATATCCTATATCCACTAAGTCATTTCCATTCACTAACCCCTTAAAATCAGTGAAGCTCCACTCTGGTCTTTGTCTTCCCCCCCATTTCTCCCAATTTGTCAAGATATCATTAAAATCTCCTGCTATGATCCACCTCTCACCCCACTGATTCATTTTTCCTTCTAGCTCTCTCCATTGGCTTCGTCTCTGTTTATCATCCGTACTAGCATATACTCCAATAAAGGCCCATTCACATCTGGCCTCCATATCCATCATGCGAGCAGTGATGTAAAAACTAGAGACCTCCACTTCTATCATTTTAATCCAGTGTTTCCAAAATAAAGCCAGACCTCCAGCTTTCCCTACCGAATCTACAACAGCACTGTCGTCAAAATTCAACCTCTTTTTTACATTTTTCATAAACTTTTTTTGGTTTTTTGTTTCACTCAAAAATAAAACTCCTGGAGAGTGAAGGTGTATTACCTCCTTAAGTTGGGGAACTGTCAAGGAACTCCCTGCACCTCGACAGTTCCACACCCCTACCTTCATTGACACCTTGGAGGCCCTTCAGGGATTGCCTCCGTCACCCTCAGTAGTGTTTCGAGTTGCACCTCTTTCTTTAACAGCTTTGTCCTTTCTTGTTCCACTGTATCTGAGTCAACCAGCATGTCATCAGGTTCATCTCTTAGTGTATTTTTCCTTTTTTCTCTCAACCTTGGCTGCTCACATTTCATTGGTATCTCTGTCACAGGTACTCCCTTCCCTCTTACATCCCCTCTAGGGTGTCTAAGCCGTCTCCCAGTTTTCACGTTTTCCTTTTGCTCCCTCTCCTGTTCTATTTCTTGTTTCCTTTCACCTATACTACTTTCCTCACAATCCTCAGCTCTCGGGCAATTGTTTACCCCTTCCCTTTCCTCACTTTCACTTACATCTATCCACATTTCCTGTATGTTTGCAGTTTCTGTTTCTCCTACATTCTCTACAGGAGATGTGTGCAAAGGGGTATTCATCTGGTTCTCCTTTCCTTGTCCCTCCTCCAACCCATCTCCCTTCCTCTCTAAACTCCCTACTTGTACACTATCCCTCTTTTTCTCCCACTTCCCCTCCTTATTTTCTCCCTCTGCTATTTCATCAAGCTCTTGCTCCCTAACACTTTTGCTTTGAGGTTTTCCTTGCTCTTCCCTTTTCGTTTCAGCCTTCCTCTTATCTGGTTCCGCATTCACTAGCACCAAACCTCGTGTTTGACCTTTTGTTTGTGCTTCCGTATCTGGCAACCTTTCTCCCCTTGGCATGCGCATGGGAGAAGTCATTATATTTTCTACTTTTAGCCACGCTTCATATTGACCATCTCTCATTGTGACTCCATTTTTCTCTTCAAAAGAACATGATTTATCACTATGTCCAATCACCCCACATCTGTAGCAAAAATCCGGACATCTCTCGTATTTAAATTCTGCCCATACCTCCACCCCATTGTGCTTGACCGGCAGTTCTCTTAATAGGGGTTGAGATATGTCTACCTCTACCAAAATTTTCATATGTTTTCCTTCTTTCCCACCCCCTGATGGGATAATCACCTCCTTCATTGCTTGGAAAACTTCCCCAATTTTAAAACCTGCTGCTCTGCATAACCAATGAATTGGAAGTTGCCACACCTGTACCCACATCTGTGACGCATTAAAACTCTCTGGGTCTTTTTCAATTCCCTTACTCCATGGCTTTAGTACTAGAAGCTGGTTGTCCAGTACCCAGGGTCTACCATTCAACGCTTTCTCCTTATCTTTTTCCTCTTCAAAGCTGAACTGGAACACATTTGGGCCCAGCTCCGTCACCCTCATGTTCCTAGGATATCCCCAGACGTGGTTTGTAAAGTTCTTTACTCTAGTGAAATTTGCAATTTTTTCGCCTATAATTCTCCCCACCAAGCTGAGTTTACACTCCTCCGTACCTACCTCAACATCATCCCAACTTAGATCTACTGCTTCTACTTCCTTTTCCCCCAAATCGAATTTTTGGAATGCTCTGTACAGTGAGTCAGCCATAAGTTGCACTGCAAAGGTCCTTGTACAGTCACTATAGATGAATGCAAAGTTCAGATTTTAAAACTGCGGAGACAAGGTATACTGACCACCTTACCCTCAGCACTTGCAGAATGCAGTTTCAAAAACAAGGCAAAAC